GGCCGATGACCGTGTCGATGCCGTAGCGGTCGCTGCTGCCGGCCGATTTGCCTGGCCCTTGTACGTAGTACCGGTACAAGGCTTCGCTCGACACTTGGATGCCGAGAATTTCGTCGTTGTTGATCCATTTGGTTTGATCCACGAGTTTCTTCAAGGCGTCAAATTGCGACGGGAACGAGTCGATCACCTCGTGGTTACGTCCGTCGCGCACGACGGTCGTGCCGACCTCGCTCCATAGGCCGAGCCAGACCTTGAGCCCGCTGTTGCGGGCGGCTTTGAGAATGTTCTTGGTGCAGTCAAATTCAATCCCGTAGATGCGGACGTAGTCGGTGAGTCGCTTGAGAATATTGAAGTCCTCGGCGATCGTGTGGAAATTCTTGCACCCACCCCACTGGTTGGTACGCAAGTCGTAGTTGATGCCGAAGAACCTGGCGTCCAGCGCCGCCACGGACGAGGCGGAGAACGCGGCAGCGATAGCAAGCGACGATGGTACTTTCATCGGAGAAAATTGGGGAATGCACGACTGGGGCTCGCCAACTCTTTTAGCCAAGCGGCGTGGAAGCCATATGGCCACACGCATGCTGTTTGAACATCTCGCATACTGAGATCTATCAAATCGGCCGAGATTGTGCCGGGGAGATGCGGGAACAGGACACAAACACATCAATATGAAGAATTAAGAGTCCTTGATTCCTTCAAGTCACGGTGTACCATTGTCGAGGGGATGCATGCAACTTTTTTCAAATTGTCACGTCCGAGTCAACAAGTAACCGAATACTAGTATCCCACTTCCACGGAAACAAATGGCGTTTACAACCGCACGACAGTTACATATTATTATTCGCTTGGACATCTTCATGCTGATATTTGTATTAAGTATGCGTATTTTTATTCATCGCCAGAATTATTTACGATTTTCAATACGATTTGTACAAACGAGAAAGGCGCGATGCAGGTCAGCGATTTCTCAATGTATACTGCACAATGGGTGACGAAACTCTCTCTATTCCTCACAACAACAACTAATACATCTACTATCAAGATGACTATGTTGCATGTCGCCTGAATTCACAGCTCTAGAGAAATACAACTTCGAACTTGCCAAATTCGTCGTACAGTCATAACAACAACCAATACAGCTACTACTACTATCAAGATCACTTCCACCACTTTTATCTGGAACAGAGTAAGTAACTATGAAAATGTATACTATACTAAACTACATCAAGTAAATATTTTTCTCTACGGCCTGTGCGTACTCTATGTTTGGGCGGCCTGTAAGATTTTTTTGTCAATTTTTGGCACTTTTGAGGCATACTAGTGTGCATGAATATATCGTTCATTCCAAGAGTGTGTGTGTTGTGTTGGGATTAGATCACGATCCCTGAAGCATACCGGTACATGTGCATCAAACTTACAAAGATAAGTCGATCAGAGCTCGACAAACAAGGTGACGAGTTTTGACAAGTACGAGACAGAGAAGTAGCTGTTGTGCTTCATGTGCATCCATAAGCGACATCTTTAGTAGACAGGCTGAACGATCGTCCACCGACGAACACGGCATTTACACCTCTGTGAATTCGTAGGAACAGGGTGTTACCAGGGCCACTGGACTGGGGCTCGAAGGAGTTTGACCTGATGACACGCGTGGCCCCGTGTGCCACGTGTATTGCGTACAGAGGCTCGGCATGACCACACTTCTTGCCCTCA